TTTTAAAAAAAAGAGTTTGCAATGTGGAACTAATATGGCCATCAAGCATCCAGACCCAGACATTCCTCCCTCTTCTTTTCTCTGTATGTCAGTCTCATTCACAATATATTAGATTACAACAACCTGAAAAACCTGGACTGGCTGAACATTGTATCAAGTACAGTACAGCCATTAGCCCCAATGGAATGGGGTATAAGTATTGGCCAAAACCAGTCCTTTCTGGGGGATAATTATTATTGAGACTCTCTTGATAAAACTTGGGCCACCTTCCATCAACAGAGGTGGACTGGCTGAACATTGTATCAAGTACAGCCATTAGCCCCAATGGAGTGGGGTACAAGTGTTGGCCAAAACCAGTCCTTTTTGGGGGAGAATTATTACTGAGACTCTCTTGATAAAATTTGAGCCACCTTCCATCAACAGAAACAGTGGCGTTACTTTTAGTGCTTACTGGAAGCCTTTGTTTTGAAAAGTGTATAGACTGGTCATGTTGCCTTTATATAATACTGACCAGTGTGGGGGACTAGATTTTTAATGTTAAGGTGCCTGAGTTTGGTCTGAAAGATCACTCAGCTGGTTTTGATTGTAATAGGTTAGTGGCAAGGCATAATTATGTTGGGTTGTAAAGCCCCCTCCCCACTGAAGCCCACTGTTAGTTTCATGTTGTAAGACTAGCACCTAGGAAGACATGGGCCCCTGTTGACAGGCCATTTCCCCACCCGCCGCCCAAATCAATTTATCTGAAAATATCTCCAAACATACTACACAAATGTTATAATGCTATCTAGCTGCCTTCTTCTCCACTTAACTCTACTACTGTGCTAGCCACCCGTAACCTTCCTAAGATTGTCCATTTCAACAATTGCCTTGTTCCTGTATTACTTCTCTAGCTTATCAGGCAGCAGTAGTGGCAGGACCTTTTTTAAAAAATTTTGACTTTTCCAAATGACTGTGGAATTCTGCAGCTGAAGTCCAACCCCCCCTCTGTGACCTGATAAGGTTTCAAAGGTAAGTGAAATGCGGAGTGGCTTATCCTTCAGTAAGTTTGCATGATCAAGCAGGGATTTGAATCAATCTTTCCAAAGTCTGATGCCCTATTTACTACACCACACTGGCTTTCTGACATAGAACTGGACCCACAATACATTGCAGAGTTTTGAATTTTGGCTAAACTCCTCTAACGGTGCAGCAAAAATTCGGGCACTTACAGAGCGGAATGAGCGTCAGATCTCCCCAGAGTAGACCACCCTTTTTGCTTCCCGTCAACTGGCACTTACAGTTTCAATAACTCACTCTGAGACAATGGTAAGAGAAAGAATAAAAAGTTCAATTTATGTACAGTTCTGAAGAGATCAAAAAGAAGCATATTGTACAAAAAAAGAGAGGCTGCTTACAGACTCACAGCCTTCTTCCAGCAGAATCCTGCAGATTCCACGTGAACAGCCAAACTAAAAGGAGAGGGAAAACGAAATGTAAGCAGAAAGGAGTGTGTCTCTTTGAAATTGGAGGCAGGGAAGAAACAATTGGTTACTGCTCAACTGATTGACAGTTGCCCAAGTCCAGAGAGGTCCCTCCCACTAAAAGACAGCAAGAAATTCCAATAAAATATAGGCATTATCAAGCACTATTACCTGAATATCTGCAACCAACTACCCAAAATTTCAATTACTTGTCATGTACCCTTTTTTTCCAAAAAGAAGAAAAAGCTTTATGTTTTTCTTGCCATTGGAATTCTTTTACTAATCCATCTGCAAAGGTAATATATGTAGACTAAAAAAAGCCCCATGTCATTTTCAGCAAACTGTTACACAACACAAGTGACATGCTCTGGTCTTCAGTGAAAGCTTGCTCCCATTGAGGGGAAACTAAATATCTTCCACTGGAGTCAGGAAACACAAGAAACGTATTGTATTCTACCAGTTGTAGAATTAACTGTGGGCATTAATCTTCTGACACATCAGCTCAATTCACTGGAATTTTCATAGGGATCAGAAAACACCTCACAGTTCACTCCATCAGTATTTTGTTTGAAATCCGAGTGCATGAAGGTTCGTATGTCCTGTCTTGGGGAAACAAGTTCCTTTATGACAAAGAGAACACAACTGAAGGGAAAGGAGAAATCTCTCCGAGAAATCACCTTTCCAAAGGTGAACTGTTGCCAACACTCAAAAAAAGAGCATCATCTTCATGTCAAATCAAGCAAAGGTAAGAAGAATGGCACACCAAAAGGCAATTTCCTGGCAAGATGTTAACATGGGAACACAAAGTGATGTGTCTGGAAGCAGAACTGCTGAGCTGCAGACAACCTGGGTGTGAGTCAGAGAACATTAGGACAGGGCTTGTCCACCAGGAAGAGAGACTTGATTGCATGCGACTTGTGTCAACTCTAGAGACGTCAAGAGCTACAACTTTTAAAAAGCCAAAGCAACAGAAAGGTTTCTAAATGAGCCGTTCAGCCTGGAGGGCAGGCAAGCTGGAAACAACTCAATTTCTGGGGGAAACAGTCAACAATCCAGGTGTGTTCTCTGAGATGTTATCATCCATTCCTTTAATACTGTGGCCAAAGTTTGGACACATTCATATATATATGTGTGTGTGCACACACATGCATTTACTAGTAATTTATGGTTATGCTTTCTCTGCCTTCAAGGGGTTGTTGCAATAGCCAGAGCTCTTTTAAAAATGAAATTGAGAGAGGTAGCATCTGACTTGCACTGTTTGCACTTATGTATAGGGCAGTACAGTCAAGTCTTTCCACTGCAACTGGGACCTTGTTCATTGTACCTTCCTATAAATCTAGCAGTTCAAAAGTTAACCAGGAGATGGTAACTAAACTTTGTCTCATGGATAACTCTGTGGTAATGGAGAGCCAGCTAAACCAAATGAACAGCTGCCTTTGGGTTTTCTGGCTGGCTCTTCCTGAATAGCTTGGATGTCAAAGATTTTAGAGACATTTTTCTTTGCTGTGTTCCACTGTGGTTTTGATGCTCAGTCAAATGTATTCACTTGACTACATCAACTGCAGCATTTTTTTTTGCAAGTACGGTTGTCAAATAGCAGCTTCCTATTCCTTGAGACTTCAAGCCCAAAACTTGAAACCTATTATAACAGGCAGGGGCTTGTATATCAACTTCAGAATAATGTGTGCAGGTGTGCATTAGAGTAGTCATTCTCAACAATTTTTTGGCCATGGCCCCAAAGACAATATGAAATAAATATAAGCTGAATCAAGTTTGTATATGTCATATAATGAACCTTTCAAGTTGGTGTGTGAAGAATTGTTTCCAGTCTGTGGCCCCCATCAAATGTGCTAGCCCGCCCGGGGCCATATTGCCCATTGAGGATGTCTGCATTAGAAAACAAGACCAATTGTCAATTTCTTTCACTCCCTCCTCAACAAATATTACATGTGCAATATACGAATACCTTGTGCTGAGTCAGTGGACCCAGTGACAGAACTACTGCAAAGTCTACAGACTACACATGTCCTTCAATTCTGAGTATGTGTCTTGGCCTTCCTGATCTACCCCATACCTTTTCCAGGATTTTCTAGGAGAGACTATAAATAAGTAGTTTACCATTCCATTCTTCTGGAAGTTCCCTGGGACTGTGTGGTTTGTCCATGACTACACAAGCTGTCTCTTCTCCCAGGAGTCACAGTGGGGAATTGAACTCCCAACCTCTGGCTCTGCAGTCAGATACCTAAGCCACGGAACTATTCAGGTAACAATTGCCACTAAAGACTCTGCTTTCAAAAGCTGCCAGAAAACAAGTAATCAAAAGTCAGGCATGGCATCAGTACTCAACCATTCATTCTTGACAAGGCATCCACAACACCAGCACGGATACCTCTTCTAAGTTGTGGTGACACTGTCTCCCTCTCCCTAACCCAGTTTTTGTCTTATTTAATGACAGCATAAAGTACCTGCCTGCCCTGTTTCTCTGAAAATAAGACCTAACCTGAAAATAAGCCCTAGTATGATTTTTCAGGATGCTCGTAGTATAAGCCCTACCCCCCAAATAAGCCCCAGTTAAGTGAAACCCTGCCCTCCACCCTTGTGCAGCAACCAGAAGAAGATGACATGACTGTCTTTGAATACATGGGGATTGTTCTACATGGGAAAAAACCCCTGAAAATAAGCCCTAATGCGTTTTTGGTGCAAAAATTAATATAAGTCTCTGCCTTATTTTCTGAGAAACATGATAGTACTTTATATTTCATGTAATGAGTCAGAGTGATGCTGTGTTAAAATACTGAGTGGCTCACAATTATCTGTCACAGACTACTAGAGAGGTGTACAAGTTGGTACTGATGTCACAGGGAGCTCAGACAATAGTGCTTTGGCAGAGACCCCCTCAAACCTGAAGTTCACTAGTTTTGAAGCGGAAGTACCTGACTAATATTCTAAAGCTTTTTAATTAAATCTTTCCATTAACCCTATATATGACATTTTACTTCTTCTGCAAAAAAGAGAAGCAATTATTTGTGCCACTTATGGATCATTTTAATGCAATTGTTGTATAGGAACCATTTTTTTTCTTGACTTCCGAACTAGGAAAACAGTAGAATGTTCAGAAATGTCTAAAATGAAAGTATATGGAAAATTCATGGTGAAGAAACTTTGCTGTGTAGCAGAATTAATGTGAATCAGCTACAAAACTGTGACTTTCCTTTAATGCTAGAAATAGTAATGGTGGTACAGTAGTTAACCAACTATGATTTCTATTACTGTAGAAAGTGATAAATGGGTATCTGTTCCATTGAGTCTGAAAGTGTATTAAAAAGCATACTCAGAAACAGAAAATAACACAACAATTTTTTTCTTGAAAAAGAAGCTGATTTATCAAGCTTCATAAACTTTCAAGTGTTCATAGTATACAGTATATGGATATAATAAAATTAAGATGTTTTATAAGAAGCTGTAGTCAAACACTAATAATATGTTACAGTAGGAATTCTGTTGCTATAATAAATAACAATAGTTTTATTGAAGCTGCTTACATGTTTAAAGGACTTATACACAGTAAGATTTTAATTATTAAACCAAATTACACCAAATCTGTTGAAGAGTCTGTTCTCAGATTAAACTGAATCAGAAGTGGTTCATGGCTCCCATGTAAACATTTACCAAAAGTTTAATAAACTGAATCAATTAATTTTAAATATTAAAAATGAATCCGTTTAAAACTGGAAGATCAGATTAAAAACTCACTTGCTGGATGAAAATATGCTCCTTCCATTTTCTGTTGTATTCCTTCGATTTAGAAAAACTAAAAACACATTTGATAACGCTAAGGCTGGACTAGAACTCTAAACTAAGGAGTGAACATATTCAGAAAAATGAAAATGTTTTCCTGCTTTGTGAGGAAGATTGAAAGTCTTTTAGAGATGCACTCTGGGATGATCCAAATGCAAAAGGGAAACTGAAGTCATCTTTTCCATCTTGGAAAACTTGAGCAGATGAGCATGATGGAAAGGAAAATGCAAACGAATCCTCAGTGTTCATTTTTCCAAATAAATCTCCTTGAAGGGAAAAATATTTTAAATTAACTTTTGACATTATACAGAAAAATAGTAAATAGTGCCTGAGCATTAATTATAATGCAAATAGAAAAAAAATCACTTATTTTAATTAAATAATGGTCCTCTGGTTGTACTTTTTTTGTACTTAAAGTTCATATAAGTGACAACATTCAAAAAACCTTGTGATTTTAGTCACCAATCACAACTGAAGGTTTGTTTGTTTGTTTGTTTGTTTGTTTGTTTGTTTGATTTATACCTCACCTATCTGGTCTGTTTGTTTGTTTCTTTATACATATATACATATTGCTCACTAGAATAAAATTTCTGAACAATTCACATACAATTGTGATTTTAGTCACCAATCACAACTGAAGGTTTGTTTGTTTGTTTGTTTATACATACAGTATATACATATTGCTCACTATAATAAAATTTCTGAACAATTCAAACTCTCTAAACCATGTATGTATAAAACAAAACAGAGTGGCAATGCAATTTTATATAACTTATGGAAATAGTGTAATTTCAGAAGATGTTTATAATTATCAACACTATCTGCCTCCAGAACCACTTCTGGCGGGGGCCATTGACATGTTACATGGTGACATGTTCCATAGGTTTTTCTCCTATAAAAAATTCAGGGACTGGTTATGTACACTGGTCCCAAGTTATTTAAGGCTTTAGTTCACACAGAATGTATTATGGGAGATATGTTGCAAGAAATAAAGTGCTAATGAGCATTCCAAGCAACTATGATCACCTTCATTGACAGAGATGGCCCCAGTTGTACACTAGACTACAGCTCTTCGATTAGACAGTGGAACCAGTTACCTTGGGAGTTGGTGAGTGCTCCAACACTGGAGGCATTCAAGAAAAACTTAGATAATATTTTAACAGCTGTGAGGATTATATTCGCACAGTACTGGAAGAATGAAGAAGCACCTCCAGATGAAGAAATAATCAAAAAGATACTGGACTGTGCAGAAATGGACAGACACATTTAAAATCAAAGGGAAGGAAGATTCAGAATACTATCAAACTTGGAATCTGCTTTATTAATGGCTAGAAGCACATTGTATAGACTAAGGACTTAATATGAATTGGAGTTGTATTAACAAATGATTATAAGCGGAACCCAGGGGACACAATGTTAAACAAACATGAATAGACTTTATAAATAATATTACCATATTTGCTGGTGTATAAGGCGACTGGGCGTATAAGACGACCCCCCAACATTTCCACTCAAAATGTAGAGTTTGTTATATACTTGCCATATAAGACTACCCCCTCTTCCGCATGCGTGATTCTGCTTTGGCTGCATCATGGGAGAATTCGTTTTGCCGCTTTTAGTTCCTTTCGCTGGGAGAGAGCGAGGGTTTGCTGAAAGAAGGACAGCATCGGCGCCAAACAGCTGACTGTTGGGAACCAGCAGAGAGGCGGTAGCCATTTTGGAGAGGTGGCAGCCATTTTGAGAGGCAGCAGCCATGTGGTCGCATCTCAAAATGGCTGCCGCCTCTCTGCTGGTTCCCAACAGTCAGCTCTTCGGTGCTAGAGTCAGGTTGTTCCCAGGCTACCAAGGAGGAGCTCGGTCTACTCGGTCTTACCAGGTAAGTGACTTCGCTGGGAGAGAGGGAGGGTTTGCTGGAAGTGCACCCGGCGTATAAGACGACCCTCCACTTGGAGGCATGTTTTTCAGGGCCAAAAAGTCGTCTTGTACGCCGGCAAATACGGTAATAATAAAAGTTCTGACTCGTGTCCTCTGAAGATGCCGGCCACAGAGATTGGCGAAATATTAAGAAGAACAACCTTCAGAACATCGCCAAAGAGTCTGAAAAACCCACAACAACCAATAATAAAACTTTGAATTAAAAAAGAGAGATAAATTTAGATAATCACCTGGCAGATATGCCTTACTAGTATTCCTGCATTGAGCAGGGTGTTAGACTTGATGGCCTTGTATGCCCCCCCCCTTCCAACTTCACTTTTCTATGATTCTATGATAAAGGAAATTCAACCACTTCCATACCAAATAAATAATCCAATTCTGGCTCACTGAATCTCTGTGCATAAGCATTACTTTGGTTTATCAGCTTTCAGATTCAGAATACTATCAAACTTGGAATCTGCTTTATTAATGGCTAGAAGCACATTGTATAGACTAAGGACTTAATATGAATTGGAGTTGTATTAACAAATGATTATAAGCGGAACCCAGGGGACACAATGTTAAACAAACATGAATAGACTTTATAAATAATATTACCATATTTGCTGGTGTATAAGGCGACTGGGCGTATAAGACGACCCCCCAACATTTCCACTCAAAATGTAGAGTTTGTTATATACTTGC